GCCCGGGCCGCGGCCGCGCGTGGCAGTGAAAATGGCCTTTCGCAAAGCCTACTCCATCAAAGACAAGCTTCAGGCCATCGAGCGCGTCAAGGGCGGCGAGCGGCAAGCCAACGTGTGCCGCGACTTCGGCGTGCCCGGCGGCACGCTGCGCGGCTGGCTCAAGGACGAGCCCAAGCTGCGCTGGTTCCTGGAGCAGCTGGGCGGCGAGGTGGGCACGCAGCGCAAGAAGATGCGGCTGGCCAACGAGGAGGAGATCGACCGCGCCGTGTATGCCTGGTTCCTGGCGCTGCGCCAGCACGGCGTACCACTGTCCGGCCCGCTCATCCAGGCGCAGGCCGAGGCCTTCGCGCGCCAAATCTACGGCCCCGAGTGCACCTTCAAGGCCAGCCACGGCTGGTTCTGGCGCTGGCAGAAGCGCCACGGCATCTCCAGCCAGCGCATCTACGGCGAGGCCGAGCTTCCGCCGCCCGAGCCGGGCCCGCCGCCCGTGCCCAGCCCACCAGTCAAGGAAGAGCCGGTGCCAAGGCTGCCCAGGGCTGCGGGGCCGTTTTCGGCCCGCCTGTCGGTCCCGCTGCCCCCCGCTGACGGCGGCTATGGCGACGAACAGATCTACAACGCCGACGTCACTGGCCTCTACTGGAAGCTGCTCCCGGAGCAAGCGACGCCCCGGGGCGCAGGGGACGGAGACTGTGGCCGGCGTTGGCGGGGCGACAGGGTGACGGTGCTGCTGGCCGCCAACCTGACAGGCAGCCACAAGCTGAAGCCGCTCATCATCGGGCAGCTGCCCGACCCGCCCAGCCTGCGGCACCACAACCAGGACAAGTTTCCCGCCTCGTACCGCTATAGCCCTGATGCCTGGCTCAGCCGCCCGCTGCTGCGAGGCTGGTTCTTTGAGGAATTCGTCCCTGGCGTCAAGCGCTACCTGCGCCGTAGCTGCCTGCAGCAGAAGGCCGTGCTGCTGCTGGTGGCCCACCCTCCGGGCCCGAGCCCGGCCACCAGGACGCCGGCCCAGGGCGAGAGCGAGGAGGCCCCCCTGCGGGCCCGGCCTGAGCCCCCGGAGGAGCTGCAGACACCCGATGGCGCTGTGCGCGTACTGTTCCTCCCCGGAGGCAGCCGCCGAGCGCAGATCCCCGCGCCGCTGGAGCAGGGCGTGGTGGCTGCCTTCAAGCAGCTGTACAAACGTGAGCTGCTGCGCCTGGCCGTGTCCTGCGCAGGAGGCTCCCCGCTGGACTTCCTGCGCGGCTTCATGCTCAAGGACATGCTGTACCTGGCAGGACTCTCCTGGGACCTGGTGCAGGCAGGCAGCATTGAGCGCTGCTGGCTGCTGGGCCTGCGGGCCGCCTTCGAGCCCCGGGCAGAGGTGTGTGTGGGACCGCCGGCCAGCCAGACGGAGGTGACTGCAGAGCACAGCCGGGTGCTCAGCGACCTCTCCCATTTGGCCTCCCTGGCGTATAAGCGCCTGGCGCCCGAAGAGGTGGCTGCGTGGCTACACCTGGATGATGAAGGGGGGCTGCCCGATGGCTGCCCAGAAGATCCTGCCATGCGCCTCTCACCCTGGCCTGTCCCCGAGGCCCCTGCACCCCAGGCCAGCCAGCCCCCACGCCTGGCAGGCGGAAGGGAGGCAAGAGAAGGGCCTACGGCAGCTGAGCGGGAAGAAACCATGCTGCCCACAGCAGGAGAGGCCATCCGGGGTCTGGAGATGGCTTTACGGTGGCTGGAGAGCCAAGACCTCGAGAAAGTAGGGCCGCTGAAGCTGGCCCAGCTGCGTGCTCTCCTCTGCTTGGCCCGTCGCCTGGGGGGCAGTGCCTGAGGACGAGGTGTGGCCACAAGCCTGCCCCCCCAGGCCTTTATTCCTGATACACTTGAAGACGCATTACTCCATGTCCCCTCCTAGATGGGAAGGGGTCCATTGGTGGAGAGTCATCTGCCACCCCACACATAACCATTCTCCACTCGGGAACTTGGGTCATATTTAGCCGAGGTCCCTGCAGGCCCCTATGGGGCCAGCTTCTGGTGTGGTAGCGTGCCTGTCTGCACTCCCCGTTGTCTGTTACATGCACTGGACAATGGCCCAGACCAAGCCTGATTCCTGGTGCTACGTGGCCACTCTCAGAGATGCATGCGATTTGTTTTTGTCTTGGACACACTCGGTACAACTTAAAAAACACTCCCAAGAGGGCCCAGAGAACAGGCAGGGCAGTGGGCACTGGGTGCGGGCCAGGTGCTGGTGGTGTGTCAAGGTGTCTGTCAGTGACCCAGAGGGCTGGTACCCAGTGATGCCCCCACCCCTTCTCCCTCCCCCATAGGGCCTGTGGGAAACTCACTTGTTCTGGGGCCCGCTTTGTGCAGCCAAGCACCTGGGACCATTAGCAGAGCCTTTGTGGCCTCCTGGCTCCTGCTTCCCCCGCCTCCCCAGCACACCAGTTTTGGCGAGGAGAGGGGCTGGTCTATGCAATACCAGCAGCTTCCAGAGGGGGCGCTGAAGCACAGCTTCTGTTACCAGCCCGGACACCACTGGAGCCATGGTGCCCCACACAACTGTTCCTGGGGAACATCGAGGAGGAGCAACTTCAGCAGGAGTCCAGGACTGTAAAGCATCCCTTGAGCGGCCTCCCTGGAGAAGGGGTGCATAGTCACTGAGCACTGGGGCTGGCTGGCCTCAGACCTGGTGGGCAGTAAGAGGGACCTGGCTGAGGATGGTGGCACCAAGTGAGGGCTGACTGGCCCTGGCCAAGGGCGTGCGACCGACCAGCCACGAGCCTGTAGCCTAGGTTTATCTCATCAAACTGCCAGTTGAGCCTTTCTGGGCTGGCAGGGTCGACTGAGGTGCTGAGGACCCCTTCTGCGGCCCCCGCGTGTGCTGCTGATGACCTGGGAAACCCCTCCGGGCAGTGTGAACTGTCATCCTTCCAGAAATGGAGCTTGAAGGGTCCTGAGTGCAGCAGGGAGGCAGGCTTCAGCCTTGCACCCTGTGGGTGGAGGAGGCTGCGACAGTCCTTACCCAGCCCCTCGTCCAAGGGAGGCCGTAACCCGTGCTAACTCCCACTGCACACCAGCCCTCCCACTTCAGCTGGGGCCCAGGGTGGGCAGTGCCCACAGTCTGACCCCAACATGGCTTCCTAAACCCTCCACCAGTTACTACCATGAAGGCCAGGGCGACCAAGGTACCTACCTGGCTTCTCAGGGTCCCAGGCCGCAGCAGTGGTAGCTGACACCATGGGACAGCCCTGCTCCTGCCTGGCCCTGCACTGCCCAGGTGGCCTCCCACCTGAGCCCTGGCAGTGGGCTAGAGGTTGCAGCAATGACTGTGGGTAAAACCTGGCGGGGCATGGGGGGGATTGGCCCAGAGGCTTGCCCATGCCCCTCCTATGGGCCTCACCCTCTAGCCAGGCCTTCCAGCAGAGCACATCTCGTGCTGGGGGTGCCCAGTCAAGGCTTAGACCCAAAGGCACCCGTGCAAGGGGACTGCCAGCTCCAGTGACAGGTTTGGTGGGAAGTCCTTTAACCTCCTGGAAACCAAGTTAACCTGGCTGGCATCCCTCCCCCAAGGACAGTGATTTACAATAAAGTTTCAACATGGGAACTCCCTTCAGGGAGCAGAGCCTGGCTTTTATTTTTTTGCAGCTGTAGGTAGCACCCCAACCTCCCCTCTTTGTAACTTGATCCAGTATAGCACACCTCATTACTTAAGGAGGTGTGTAAAACAAGGCAGCAAACTTGATGGAAGAGAAAACCAGCCCTACTATGCATTTGATGTGGAGAAGCAGGCACTACAGACTCACAGTAGGTCAAAAGGCCCTGGAAAAGCGGGGCTCCTGCTGTGCCCTAGGCTGCCCCACCCCATCACGCAACCATCCCACCATCACCGTCTGGGGGCCTAACACAACCCCTCGCTAGTCAGTACCTTGGGAAAGCTGCTGGGGGCAGGAGTTCCTGGGCACCCACCTCATGAGAACCGGTGGGGTCAGGAGGGGTACAGGGCAGAGTTCAGTGTCATTTGCTTGTCAGGTGGCATTGCCTTTTACTTTGCCAAGACAGGTGGCCATGTTACAGATAAAGTTAGGTGGCTGGAAGTGGGGTGGGGTCAAGGAGAGCATTGGGGGTGGGGCCAGAGGCCTGCTGTGCCTGAGGGCCAGGCCGGCCCTGCCCTACCCCGTCCAACAGCTGGCTAGCAGCAGCAAGGGGCTGTCCCTGCCCCAGGCGTGGACACTGCTTCTCTGCCCTGAGAGCCTCGGAGAGGAAGCAAGGGGCCCCCTACGTGGGAGCGGGCAGAAGCCAGCCCCTGGGCACTTTGAGGAGCCCAGCAGGCAGCAGCCATCTCACAGATAACCCAGTGGCCTCTTGACCTGGGTCCTGGGCCTGCAAGTGGGCACTGCCCACAGAGGCACATGATGGGGCCCTGCTGCTGGTCCTGCTCGGGGTGAGCACATGGACACAGCTCTGCAGCTGGGGCAGGGCTCCTGACGTCTCCCCGCTCCCAGCAGACTAGCCCTGCTCATCGCATAGCCTGCTTCACCAAGGGAGGGGTCTGCCCTCAAGTGAGGGCCTGCCCCCCCACCTCAGAGCTGGGGGGAGGGCAGCAGAAGGAGGGCTGGGTGTCCAGGCACCTGGCCTGGCGGGGTCAGCTGTGCACACCTGCCAAGCAGCCACTCCAGGAGCTGCCACCTTCCTGCCACGGCATCTGCTTTCTTGTCCACACGGCAGGCTCTCTGGGGGGATGCCGCCACCATGGCCTCCCCACCAGTGAGACCTGCCAGGCTGGGAGCCCTGTCCCCTACTGCAGCGTAGCCCATCCGAGGCTGAGGGGCCCAGCTCTCGGGACTGTGGGGCAGGTCCCCTCTGGCCCTACTTCCTGCTGAGCTCCCTGGCCCGGTTGGTGGCAGCTTCGACAGCACCCATGGCAGCTGCCCGAAGCCCACCCTGCTCCAGGGTGTGGAGCCCGTAGATCGTGGTGCCGCCTGGGGTGCACACGTCTGTCCGAAGCTGGGCGGGGTGTCGACTCTCCTGTAGCAGCAGCTTGGCAGTGCCCTAGGGGCAGGGAGGCAAGGCAGCCAGCTCCCTCAGCCCTGCCCCCCCACTCTGCCCTGTCCAGTCCACCCGACCCCCTCCCCGCTGCTCACCAGCAGGGTCTGAGCGGCAATGCGATGGGCCAGGTCACTGGGCATGCCCATCTTGATGGCACCCTCGGCCAGGGCCTCAGAGAAAGTGCACACCTGCAGGCAGAGCCGACCTCCAGTATGACAGGAGTGTGGCCCTGGGCATTCCATCCCGCAGGCTCTCGGACCACGGTCAGGGCTGATCTGGGACTGTCAAGGGAATTCAGGGAGGCCCTCCTAACTGTGAGGAGTACTGGCGGCCCGGGATGGGGTACCCAAGCCTAGGGGCCAGCCTAGTGGGAGGACGCTACTCACAAAGGCCACACCACTGCCACTGAGGCCGGTGTGGATGTCCATGTAGGTCTCGGGCACTTCGTCGCACTGCCCACAGGCCATCAGCAGACTCCGCACGAACTCAACCTCGCTGGCCCCAGCCCAGTGGCCCCGAGACAGCACCATAGCTCCCTCCTGGACCACACAGGGCAGGTTGGGCGAGAGGCGCAGTACCCGAGTACTTGGGGGCAGCAGCTGCCAGGCAGAGGGGGGCTCAGGTCAGCAGCGGGGGAGCTACCGGCCCCTTTCCTGCCCCTAAACACAACTCCCAGGTGGCCTTTGCCTGGCCTCCAGCCCACAGGTTGGCCGGTCTCCAGGCTGGGGGTCTGGGGTCAAGCTGGCAGCACCAGCTCGAGCAATGGGCCTCTAGTGGCCAGAGGGAGGGATCCCCCTTCCCCACCCACATGCAGCAGCCACTCACCTCCTCCAGGGTTCTCAGAGGGACCCCAGCAGCCACAGACACCAGGATATGCTCAGCAGTGACCACTGGGGCCACCTCCAGCAGGACATCTGGCAGCACATGGGGCTTGGTGGCGAAGAAGACGAGGGGACAACTCTGCAGCACCTCCCGGTTGGTGTGGGTGGTCTGGCAGCCCAGAGCCTGCAGTGAGTGCCATAGCTGAGCCGGCCAGCCGCCGGTCACTCCCTGACACTGGAGGCCACCCTGTCTCCCTCCTCATGGCCCTTCCTGCTTCCAGTGCCACCACCACCATGACACCTGTCCTTGTGCAGGCCCCAGAGCTGAGCAATGTCCCCGAGCCCTCCCTCCCCATCCCGTAATACACTCTTTCCTTCTACCCTGGTCTCTCTCTGACCCCCAACTCCCCCACCCAGGACAGACAGGAAGATCATAGGACCAAGGTGGACCCGCCAGAGCCTGGTCCTTGGCACCTGGAAGAGGCAGAGGTTCCGGTCAGTTGGTGCGCTGGCCAGCACGTTCTGAGCTTCCACCTTTCCTGCAGAGATGGACAAAGGCAGGAAGGCCGAGAGTTGGGTCAGGGGCCAGGAGAGGATAAGCCAGCTGCCTGTCCTATATGGAAGCTTCCTTCCCAGACCTCAACTGGCCTGACTGGCCAATCACCAAAGAACCCATGGGGCGTATTCCATCCCCCCTGTGCTTCTGCTGGGCAGGTCCTGCATTTTGCCGCCTCCTGGACACCAGAGCATGCTAACATGGCCCAGGCCTGGTGCTCCCCTTCCTTGAGGATCCAAGAGACCCCGACATTTCGTGCATTTCAGGAGACCAGGCTGTCCAGGTCGCCCCAGGAGCAGCACCCTGGCTGAGAGTGTGGCTCAGCAGGGGTGTGGCATGGAGGGCGATGAGGCATGCTTTCCCTGGACTGGTACTCAGACAGCGGCCGGCCGGCAGCGGCACAGCCAGCGCCAGGTACGGAGCACATCGACCGTGCCCGCTCACATCGGTCAGCACTGGTCTCGGCCCTCGAAACCCAAGGTCTCAACGCGTCCAGCCGTGGGAGGTAGGGGGCACTGCCGCTCCGTAAAGAAGGCACCTGAGACTTTACCTGTGGCTTTACCCAACCCAGCCTACACTTTGCACCCAGCGCTCTGATCTCAGGGAAACCCGGCGCCACTGCAGGCGCGCGGTGCCCAGGCGAGGCCTGAAGCTGGACCCTGCATCCTCCACGCGCCACCCTGCCGTGCATCCGAGGAGAGACAAGCATCTCCCGGGTACCGAGGGTCCGATGTCCGCCGGGCTTTCGGGCGCGTGGCCTGCCCCGGGATAGGTCCTCCGCGGGCGCAGGGCTCGGCGCGATGCGGCCGGCCCCCACCTGCTCGGATGAGTCCCCGCGCAATAGCCTCCGCCATGCGGCCGGCGCCCACGAAGCCAACTCGCTGCGGGCCTAAGGTCTCCGCCGACGCCGCCATCTCTCCGTCCAGTTGAAGCCAGCTGGTTGGTCTGGGTCTCGCCAATGGCCTGCGCCTTCCCGCCTCTTTCCTCGGCGATTGGCTGCTGGGTTGCTATGCCCCGCCCCCTCCCCTCCCGAGCCCCAGTCCACTGCCCACTGCGGAGCAGGGTAGGCCCCGCCCCTTGCTGTTCATTGGCCTGAGAAAACGCGGTTGGCCTAGTCCTCTCCCACCCCACCCCGCGTTGTTCCGGAGAACTCAGGCCGTTTCCGGGGCGGGGCCTAGCCGGGGGCGGGGCCTAGCCGGGCGCGGGGCGGGGCAAGGCTGACCAGGACCTCCCGGGAAGCGCGCTGAGTGCCTGAGGTGAGGGCGCCAGGTCGGACCACGGGACTGTGCGAGTGGAAGGTAGTTTGTGCGCCGGCTCCGCGTGCACCGTGGGACCCATGCTAGCCCGCGCCCGCGCTCCTGGAGGACGCGCCGGGCGGTGCCCTCGCGAGGGTGCTGCAGAACCCAGCGGCCGCCGGTGGGGCTCTGGCTGCTGGCCTGGGTGAGAGCAGCCTTTTACTGTTGCCTCTGCTGTCTGGACCCGGAGCCATGGGTGGGGCACCCAAAGTCCTCCGACCAATCCTACTTAGGAGTCTGTGAGCCCCCTCGGAGTGGTAGGGCAAAGGCTGAGGCTACCAGTGAGACTGGGCTCATGGGGACCTGGCCTGGAGCAGGACCCGCGGCCTAAGGTGCTATGGACACCTCTAGCAGAGCCTGTTGGAGCTAGGGTGAGTTTACAGCTTATAATTCTAAACTCCCCGGTCTGGAAAGGGCCATGGGTGGCAGTGACCACAGAATCCATCTGCCAGCCCAGGGAGGAGCAGTCTCAGGAGCTTGCCTGGGTGTGTCCTAGATGGAGACAACTGTGATGGGGACAATACTGGGGTCACATGGTCATGGGTCATACCCTGTGGGTGTTAACCTGACTGCCTTGGTCGGAAGGCCCTGGACCAATCCTGTAAGCCCTTCTACCTAACATAATGTGTGTCCCAGTCCTGGGACTGTACCTGCTGCTTTGTGTACCCACCTGTCACTGTGATGTATCCATCTGCCACCAATCGTGAATTTGTGAGTTCCTTCCTCTCGTGCCTATTTCACTAGCGTCCCCACTGACTCCTGGGAGGCCCTTTTGACCTCGTACCAATGGACTCTTTCAACCAGATGATGTGCCCTTGCGTTGTCTTTGTCCGTTTTAAGGCTTATTAAGTGTTTTCCTTAAATTTCCTTAAAAATCGGGACTCACATTTGTACCCTAAAACAGGTGCTTGGCAGGCTGGGGCATCCGCTTACTAACTGGGGAACTTCCTCTTTGATAGAGGTACCAGTACCAGCAGCTCCACCCCTCCGTGTGCCCAGATGCCTTGCCCAATATCAGACTAGTCCCTCCCCCTAAAACCCTCAGGCCTTAGGGTAGAGCCCTCAGGCCATCCTTCTCCCAGCCTCCCCTACCCTAACATCTCCCCCACCTCCCCTCCCGCTCAGCAGGTATTTGTCTCTTGCCCAACACAATCCTCCTTTTTTCCATCACGGCCAGTGGGCCCTCCCCAGGCAGTCAGGGCTGCCCCTCAGTGGCCGAGCAGCCAGCTGGGGAGGTCACATGGCAGCACACGCACTGCCTGCACGGTGCTGTAAAAATGCTCTTTATTGCCCTGGAGGTTAGGAGAGCAAGCCCAGAAGTGGGCAGGCCAGGACACAGGGTCTGGCATGAGGGGTGAGGTACCAGGCCCCGGGTTCCCTGAGGACAGCTGCCTGGACCCTGCCGGCGAAAGTGACAGCTCAGCTGTCAGTGTTACTTCTGGGCCTGGGGAGGGCTCTGTGCTGGCTGCACGTGCGTCACTTCCTGGCCTGCTCGTAGTTCTCAGCGAACCAGTTGCATGTCTCTTTCACAGCTGCAGGGTGGGAGGTGAGAGAGTGGGGTGAGTCGTACAGATAAGGAGGCTCCCAGGGACAGCGGGGCGTCCTTTCCCAGGTAATGGCAGGACGTGAAGGGCGGGGCCTCACCCTGCTTGAAGGGCGTGAACTGGAAGTCGGGCAGGTGGGCCCGCAGCTTGCCATTACTGGCTGTCTTCTTAAACTGACCGTCCGACTTGCTTGTATCAAACTGGGCATCTGGTCAAGGCCACAACCGAAGGAGCTTCCTTCCCCTCCCCTCCCCCTTTTCGAAACCACTGCCAACCCCTCCTCCCTGCACGCAAGGAGTCCCCACTGGGCTCCCGCCCCGGATACGATGACTTCCCCGTGGAAGTCCATGGCATCCACCACAGCCTCGGCCGCCTCCCGGATGGAGACCTCGTCCTCCTCACCCACTGCAAGCCAAGGTCAGCTCAGCGTCTCCATGCGGGCGGGCCGCCGCACCCCCACCCACCTGGGCAGCCAACCTTCCTGCTCCCACCTGAGAGGATGATGGGCTCCACCTCGCTGTACTCTCGCAGAACCCAAAGGAAGAGTCGCGCCAGGTCCTGGAGGGTAGGGCAGGGTCAGTGGCCACCCTGACATTACATATCCCCACCCTACCCAAAAGCCCTTGAGGGCAGCTCTGACAAGCTCCACTATCACTGACCAGGGCTGACCTTTTGCCTTAGCTCCAAGCTGCACCTATGACAGCGGACCTACGCGGACCCCACTACTCGGCTTCCGTCCCAAGGACTTGACCCAGACCCAAACCCTTCACCCCATTCTGAATGCTGGCGTGTGTGTGTGTGTGTGTGTGTGTGTGTGTGTGTGTTGCTGTGCTTCCCCTGCACAAACCAGGGAGTAGATGAACTGCCTCCGCGGCGTCCCCGTACCCCACACCGTCAGCGCAGAGCCACTGCCTGCAGAGAAGGGAGGGGCGGTGTCCAAGGGGCATGGAGCCCCCAGACCTCATCATCATGCCGGCCCATCTGCATGGGCACTCACTCTTGGCCAGGTGCACCTTGTGGATCAGGCCAGGCAGCACGTGGCCGTCCTCGATATTGAAGTTGTCATAGGGTCCAAAGACATTGGTGGGGATGACCGCAGTGAAGGTCCGGCCGTGCTGTTGGAAGTAGGCCCTGCAGAGGCACAGCACACTGTTACTTCCCCATCCTGGACCCGTCCAGCACCCCCCACACACCCCAGGCCTCTCAGACAGCAAATAGACAGACCCAGCTTGCCCGTCCAACCCAGGAGGGCCTGAGTGCCCTCCCCAGTGGGACGCTCCCCAGAACCTGTTCTGCACGTCGATCATCCGCTTGGCATAAGAGTAGCCAAAATTGCTGCTGTGAGGAGGTCCGTTGTGGATCTGGAGGAGGGGGTGAGGCAGAACATACACTGAGGCCACACGTCCTGGGGGCTGGTCAGACCCCTGCCCAGCCAGGCTGGAGCTCCTTTGGGGCCTGCACCCCCGCATAGAGAGCCAACCTGGCCCCTGCAGGCTCTAGGCTTCTCACCATGGTCTCATCGATTGGGTACGTGGTCTTGTCTGGGAAGATGCACGTGGATAGGCAGGAGACCACCTTGCGGGTGCCCACCTCAAAAGCAGTGTGTAAGACATTGTCGTTGATATGCATGTTTCTCCTCTGCAGGGAGGCCGCAGGGATGCCCGGGTCAGGGCATCCAGGTGGCACCTAGCCATCTTTACCAGCTCCTGGGGAGGTGGGCAGCGTGGGGCACATCACAGCTCACAGATGGCAAGTGGCTGGGCAGAGCTTTGGGTCCTGATGCCTTTCTAGGACACGGCCAAGCCTCCCGTGGGCCCTCCAGAAATCAGGGCCTGCTCCTCCTCTCGGTCCACCCCTACCTAGCTGCAAGGGACAGGCCCTGGAGCAAAGACTCTACTCCTCAGCCCAGGAGGGAGCACCCTCAGTGCTGCAGAGAGCAGGTAGTGGGAGGAGCTGGAAGTTGCCTGGGAGAGGGATGGGGCTCCCACTGCAGAGCACCCACCCCAGGAGCCCCTTCAGGGCAGCAAGGGTGCAGCTCTGGTCACCTGTGCCTGGCTCACCAAAAGAGGAACAGCCAGCGCTCTCCCAGTGCCCGGGCCCCCTATGGGCCCTCAGGGATGCCCACCCAGGGCTGTGTCAGGCCGACCCTCAGGAACTTCCCTGTAGCCTGTCTGGGAAGAGAGTTCTGAGAAGCTGGGATGCTCACTCACCCAGAAGTCCAAGTTGTACTTGATGTTCCGGAAAAGACCTCCCACCATGGCTGCCAGATGGATGACGTGCGTGGGCTGCACCTTCTCAAACAGGGCGCGGGTCTGCGCCACATCCCTGGGGGAGCCCGGCTGTCAGGAGCTGCTGCGGGGCGGGGGTTGGGGGGTAGGGCTGGGCGGGGCTGATAGGGGTGGCCGAGTCCTGAAGGGCGGGGCAGGGGTGGGGGCGAGGAACGCGGGGGTCCGGCTCACTCACGTGAGGTCTGCATCCTTGGAGGAGACGAACACCCATTCCTCTCCGGGCAGGCCCGCCCCCTCGGCCACCACCTTCTGAATGGCTCTGCCGACCAGCCCAGAGCCCCCTGTCACTAGGATACGCGTGGGCCCTTCGGGCTCCCCCATGTCCGCTGCACCTGTAGGGTCCAACGCTGTAAGGTAGGGCACGGCATGGCCCCCCCGTGCCCCCACTGGCCTGAGCCCCGCTCCCCTCGGGCCCGCCACAGCCTCACCTGCGCCCGCCGCACCTGCCTGCACCGCGGCAACTGCTTCGGGCGCCCCAATCGTGTCCGGCCACGTCCCCGGCCTCTCACCGAACCAGGGAGCGGGACCAGCGCCTCCCGCGGAACTCCAGGAAGTAGAGCCCGGGACGCACGGCGCCGGCGTCCCGTGGGCTCCTGGGAGATGAAGTCCGGGCGCTCAGCAGCCTGGGAAATGTAGTTCTCGCCCGCAGCCCCGGGGCCGAGCCCTCCAGGGCCGAGGTTCGGAGCCCGAAGGGAGTGGGCTGGGAGGGCGGGGCCAGGGCAGCACAAGCGAACAGGCTCCCTGCCCGTCACTTGCCCCCTGGGGGGCGGTCGCCACCTGGTCAGACTTGCGTCTCCCTTGAGGGTGGCTTGCGGGTGCCCCCTGGCCTCGGGCACCAGCCAGTGCCCAAGACTCAGAGCCAGGAGGGACTTGGGAGACCTGGCACCTAGGACGTCTCCGCCGCCACCTTCCCTTTGGTCAGTGGCCAGCCTCCCTCCAGGGGACTGGAAGCAGTGTCTGATGGGACGAGCTCTGGGTCAGCTGGAGACTGTGTGTGTGTGTGTGTGTGTGTGTGTGTGTGTGTGTGTGTGT